AGTCGGATCCGGAATCTTCCGCTCCGTGCAACCCCCTCCCCCCCCCCCCCCGGCGCCGCGCACCCTTTGCGCGGCAGGAAAAGACGCGACGCCGGACGGTCGAGCTGCACCAGCGGGGAGGTGGACTGCCGTCTTCCAAACGGCCCGCTGTGTAATCAGCGTCCGCCCGGTTGGTGCGCTCAGTGCGTTGTTTGCTTGCGTGTTTGAGGAGGATAACGGCGAGACGGAGCTCTGCTGGTCTGGTCTGCGCTGGTCTGGTCTCTGCTGGTCCGGTCTGCCACCCACTGCACATAGCAGAAGGCGGGGATGTTGATTCTGACGGGGTGGCAATTTGCTTAAGGATTCATATGTGTAATATTTTGGCGTTTTACAGTTGTTGACAATTTGTATGGTGATGATTTGTGGTTTGTGTTGTTGGTTCTAGGCAGTTTCAGACATTTACTCAGGGCTAAAACGGTTATCAAATTAAAATAACTTGGTCTGCTTTCGTTGAAAAGTGTACCGAAGCAAGTTAGATTGTACATATTTTGGGGTACATTTGACTGGTTAGGTATAACACATACATTTTCAACGAGTTGCTACCTGCTTAATAGGCTTAGCGCGGGTTTACGTGTAACTTCACCAGCGACTGACTGTAATTATCCAGCATTGACGAAATGAAACATCTGATTTACAGCAGTGATACACCAGTGGTATACATCAACCAGACACGACAGGAAAAAAACACAAAAGCCACTCGTTCTGCTGGGTGGGGAGCATGCTGCTATTGGAGAAGCCGTGCCTTTTATGCACCACTCCGCCGTCCCGTGGTGTCACACGACGCTTGGTACTCGCAGACTATCACGGTGTGATAACCTGGCTAGCTTTTTGGCGGGGAGGAGCACGGTGTGTTGTGCTCCCCTCAGCCGCAAGTTGGCGGTGGCGGGATCATCGGCATGCAGCGCTGATTCCAGCCCAGATCAGGAGCCGGACATCATCATCCGCACCGGAGTCACGGCCACTGCTTGGACCGGTTTGGGTGTGGAGGTCGGAGCTTCGAAGGCGGAATGGCTTCAGTTCTGGGTGTGACCTCCGTGCTGTTTCCTGTGGCCAGCGGGCGAAGGCTCACTGACGTCCAGCGGCATGTGCTGCGAATCTTGGATCAGCTCTGGGTATATTTATGTAGCTGTCGCCGGCGCTCTGGCCCGGTGCGGCGGGTGTCGCCTGTCCGGATGGGACGCGGGCCTACAGGGGCAGCGCCCGTCACCCGGGATGCTCGGCGAAGCGGCCGATGATCAGACGCGGGGGGGGGGGGGCTGGTGACCGGGACCGGCCGCTCCGCCCGGCGCACCTGCCGCGCTCCGCCGCACCGATCTCATCCGTGTGCAGAGCACGCGCCGCGCTCCTAACTGGCGGCCGTCCGAGGCGGCGCCGCCGGCCGCGACGGACACGTCTCATCACCGATCCGTCCGGCTCGGGCCGGCGGTGGAGTGTGGCCTGCGATCTCCCCGGAGTGCGGCCTCCTGGTCCATGTGCACTCCGGCCCGGTGCCAGCTGCCACGGCCGGACGAGACATGGCGCTCCGCCCCGATCAGTCTGAGTTTTGTATTTGTGTTCGCTTTGGCTTCCTTTTCGGCCAGTTTAGGGGTTGCACGTGCCGACTTTTGCACTGCTCGGTCCGATCTCCGTCTCTGTATTCCCATGCGGTACCCTGCTTTTTCCGTTGCGTTGCGTTGTGTTCCCTTTTTGGGTTTTGCGATCTGGCATACCCGTTTGCTGTTCCGACTCAGTATTGCCGTATTCGGTACTTTGCGTGGCGGTTATCACCATGTGGCTGCACATTCATATATAGAATATTTGATTCTGTCATCTGTGGATTTTGGGGTACTCATGTTGACTGTAGTGTTATCCGGTACTGCCGCTCGGTACCAGTGCTCCGCACTGGTACTCGGTACTGCCGCTCGGTACTGCGGCTCGCCACCCCAGGCCAGCACTGGTGTGCTGGTACCGCATTGCCGCACTGCACTCCCATGGTTGGGGCCCAGGTGCGCCGGACGCGGTGTTCAGCCGGCCGCTGTCGCCGCCAATTACGGCGGCCCTCGGCTTCAGCTTACGACGCCCGGTGGACTGCCGGCGGCGATCAGCGACCGACCGCCGCGGCCGCGCGGGGGCGGTGGACGGCGACACCCCACTGGCGCCCCGACAGGCTACCGGCACCCTGACAGGCTACCGGCACCCTGACAGGCCGCTGGCACCCTAACAGGCTACCGGCACCCTGACAGGCTACCGGCACCCTGACAGGCCGCTGGCACCCTAACAGGCTACCGGCACCCTGACAGGCTACCGGCATCCCGACTATCCACCGGCGCCCTGACAGGCTACCGGGACCCTGAAGGCCACTGGGACCGGGACGGGGGTGCGGCATCAGCACATGCGACGTAGACCAGGATGACTTGGCGGGACGGGCGCCATTACTAGGACCGGGACGTGACTCTGGGACCGGGGTACTGTACCGGAGCTGGGATTAGGACACTGCCAGAGCTGGACACGTTACCGGGCCGGGACGTGACTCTGGGACCGGGGTACTGTACCGGAGCTGGGATTAGGACACTGCCAGAGCTGGACACGTTACCGGGCCGGGACGTGACTCTGGGACCGGGGTACTGTACCGGAGCTGGGATTAGGACACTGCCAGAGCTGGACACGTTACCGGGCCGGGACGTGACACTGGGACCGAGGTACTGTACCGGAGCTGGGATTAGGACACTGCCAGAGCTGAACATGTTACCGGGACCGGGACGTGACACTGGGACCGCGGCATTATATCGTGATTGGAGTACTGGGTCGGACCAGACGGCTGGAGTCTGGGGTGTGTGTAACGGGAAACGGGAAGCTGCGCTATGCCTTAACACAATCCACCACGGCTAGCCATACTACGCAGCCAATGCGCTCGTGCACTTGACAACACACAGAAGCCTTCGCACCGAGTGAGCGTCGCGATTGTCAAACATCCACCAGACATTTGACGGAAGGTATCTCAGGTCAGCTTGAGCTTCGTCTCGCTCAGCTCACTGGTACGGCGTTAGTGTCTTCGAAGCGTTTCCGCGCTGCACAGGTTAGAGGGCTCGTCAAATGGCGATTATTACCATTTCATCTCTAGCGAAAACCGCTACATTTAGTTTCAGTTCATGGCTGTCTGTAGAACCCAGATGTTACAGCTCTATGATCTGAATATTGTGTGATTCGCGAAGGTCACTACGGTCCCTGAACACTGTTGTCGGCATTATGTTAAACTCAGGAACGGCGTGATGGCTGAGAATATTGGCAGACCGCGATACCCTTGTTGCCATTGTGCGGTCCCGTTTTCGCGGCTTATGCAGCGATGAAGGCCCGCAGTGCCATGACCTCAGAGCAGGGATGCAATGCCGGAGAGATGCAGCCACTCGGTAAGTCAGACAGGCTGCACGCGATGGCAGAAATGGCGTGCGGATCTAATTTGTGAGGGATGCGCGCGTGCCGTGCCGCACGGCATGCGCGCGTGTGCCGCACGGCATGACTTCTGCTCACATATTGCTCTCCAGCAATGGCGTGCGCCGGACGCTGGCGGGTGGCTGTCTTCCGCCATCGTTGTGGGCACCTTGAAGGAAATTTGGTTTTGGACGGTCTTCATTAACTTAGCATTCTCACGGAGAATGGGTTGACGAGCAGTGGGAAACCAGAGCATGCATTATGCTCCCTAATAATGCAACCTTGTGAGCATTTTTTTTTGACAGGGCTTCGGGGGAAGTAGAATACCATGCGGTCACACAGTGACGGCGATGCTGTTCGCGAACGTGCGAAGTAAAGCGAATATGGGCGAACATAATAAGAGACACTAACCGTATAACTCAGTCGCAAGGTCTATGCCTCATTAAATGCAATGCACTTTTGTTGCATGCTAGCTTATTAGAGTTTTTCGGGTGGGATGGATGGGAGAAGGGATCCTGATGTAGGATGTCATACGTACACAGTCAGACTGCGCCTATTCCATTATTACCATCCCTTGATCATCTGACCAGAGCTGTCATACGCTGATGAAATTGATGCATGCGTCGTGGATGTAAGCACTGACGCCGGTTTGATCAGCTATGGAGCATTCTGCGCCAGTTGGATGCCCTGAAGTTCACCGGGTCTGCAGCGCTGGGAAGCATGCGTGACTGCTCAGTATTCGGTATCCGTCTTTGTTATTGGCAGACCTCCATCAGCCATTTGAATTTCTTCTCACGGTACCACGCCGCATGTTTTCGGAAATATTTTTGCTCCGCGGCTGGCAACATCTGCTTAGGCTTCCGGGAGATATCGCAAAATAAACAAAAGCTGGGGAGGCCATCCGTTGCTGATCCCGTCGGCGGCGGGCGCGCCGGAATACAGATGGCTGCTGTGCGCCGGTGTCGGCGGCGCCGCCGGCCGCGCGCCGCGACCCCGGCGGCGCCGCCGCTGCTCCCCGGACACCCGTAATGCAAAGTGCCGCGCGCCGCCCACATGTGCGCCTGCAAATGCGCCATCACATGGCGTGGACCGGCGCTGGCTGCTCGCTCCGCCGTTTTATTGGCCGGCGGATGTACATCCATTTGCTGCGTGCGTAATGCCAGTGAGGGAAATTAATTGTTTCGCCGCGGTGACCCACTGCCTGGACTTCCAGCCCCCTGTTGGGGCGATGCTGTGTGCTGTGCTGGAATGTTGATGCGGCCTGGTGACTGGTGAAGTGATCTGTCCGTGTGGTGGTGTGATAAGCCGGGGATGTTTGTTCTTAGGGGTGGGTGGGTGATGTGCCAATTTACTACCGCGTGGTAGATGCCCGGAGTGTACGCCTTGCTGTGCTGAGGTCATGCGGTACACGACTCCAGCGTGGGCGTGTGCGGGTGACGTGCTGATGCTGACCCGCTGCCGCCGCCGGGTGGGGCCGGCCGAGAGCGGCAACACGTTGACCGCGGGTGGGTGCGGGTGACGTGCTGATGCTGACCCGCTGCCGCCGCCGCCAGGTGGGGCCGGCCGAGAGCGGCAAGACGTCGGCCGTGCGCACGCTGGCCGCGATGGCCGGACGCCGTCTGCGCGTGCTCACCATGAACTCGGCCACGGACACCACCGAGCTGTTGGGCGGCTTCGAGCAGGTCAGTCCGACACCCGGTCCAGGGCCGGTCTGGCGGACCCCCTCCCCCGGCCCGCCCACGTCCCGGACAACGGCCGTATTTCGTCGGCTCTCGACGGGTGAGCACTGCTCCGCCGCCAGTCTCTGTGCCGCAGATGCGCTGTGTTGGTCGACAACTGTGACGTATGCGCTGTTTACGGTCCTCAGTTATTTTTTTATGCGGCTGTGAGACGCGCTGGGAGCGGGAGGGCTCGCCGTTTCGGGGCCGGTCCGCTCCGCACGCCGCAGCGAGCTGCTCCGCCGCGCAGTCAATCCGCCTCGCTTCGGGCGAGGCATTACTCGTCTTACACGAGGAGTAAAGTATTAACAGGTACTAAATGCACAAAACATTAGAGATTATAGCATAGTTCTTGTTATTTACGTCTAAAGCGGAAGCTCTTCAGCGGGTTGGAAGATCTTCATTGATGGTTTTAGTCGGGCTGATGGTTGATGCAGGCAGCTCTGTTGATATCTGGCCGCCGGCATTAGAGGCCGCTATGCAAGCGAAACGATTCAGCGGGATATTTGATATTTGCGTCGCCCAGGCAGCTGTATTCTGAACCCAGGCGATTAGTTCCATGTTAGTATGCGCGGTCACCGCTGCACCTGCTGCAGATGCTGCCAATGCCGGATCCTGGGCGGCAGCGGTGCAGCTCAGCACTGCGAGCGTCATTTCGCAGCATCAGTCACAGAGGCGTTGGGGGACGACGTGGACGGCTGAGTCAAGGCGTCGGAACCCTGTCCCGAAAGGCGTTCCTTGTGCCCTTGTGCCACCAAGGATGACGACGCTTGTGGGGGTTGCAGCGATCCGCGCGTCGAAAAGCATTCCAAACCAAGGGCGTCTTACGGTGACAGCCGTCTGACCACGGTCACCGGGCTCGCGCCACAGGTCACAGGGGTTACGGCACGGGACGGAGGGGTTATAGTACGGGGCGCACTTGCCGTGGAGCGCCGCCGTGGCTCGCGCTCTGCGCTGGTGTTCTGACCCGCTGACAAAAGATGAGTCGCTCCGTCCGCTCGCCGACCACATGGTGCTTTCACGGATGGGCTGGCGCTGGCAGCCGGCCAACGGATGCGTGTCGCCCGGAGACTGAGGGGCATGCAGCGGCCGAATCCTCGCCCGGAGGCTGAGGGGCGCGCGGCGGCCGAATATTCGCCCGGAAACTGAGGGGCGCTCGGCGGTCGAATCCTCGCCCGGAGGCTGAGGGGCGCGCGGCGGCCGAATACTCGCCTGGAAACTGAGGGGCGCGCGGCGGCCGAATACTCGCCTGGAAACTGAGGGGCGCGCGGCGGCCGAATACTCGCCTGGAAACTGAGGGGCACGCGGCGGCCGAATACTCGCCCGGAAACTGAGGGACGCTCGGCGGCCGAATACTCGCCCGGAGGCTGAGGGGCGCGCGGCGACCAAATACTCGCCCGGAAACTGAGGGACACGCGGCGGCCGAATACTCGCCCGGAAACTGAGGGGCGCGCGGCGGCGGTGGCAGCGCACCGGTTGAAGCTGCGCGATGTTTGGACATTTCAAGGATAGAGCGGCGTTGTATTTGGATTGGTCACGTGGGGGCTACGTTTTCAGCCAATTGCAGTAAGCCGTTTTCGATGGAAAGGCTTAGCGTCCCAAATTTTGGTTGAATTTCCCATCGGTGTCCTGTTTTTAATCATCGGCTGTCGTGGATAGTTGAGAGTTACTGCAAATGCCAGCAAACGATTCACCCCTTGGGACCTGCCGGGTTCTGTAATCCTCATTTGGTCGCCATTTCTGTGCGAGTGCCGTCCAGCCATTGTTTGTGTGAGCGGCAAAATGCTTTCGACTGCGTGGGAGACCGCTACTCACAGAACTCGTTCCGCTCCCTGATGGCCCTGTGTTCTACGAAAGGGGCTCCTCTTAAACGGTGCTGGCTTATTGCTGCCAACTGGTGACCACTGACGGATGTCGGCCCACCTGGAGCCGCGGATGTGGGCCTCCCAGCGGAGCCGCCATCCCGGACGGAAGTCCGCCGGCGTGGCGACAGGCGGCACGCCGGAATCTAAAGCGCAGGAGATGAAGTCAGACACTTTAAAGTTACCCTCTGACGTCTGCGAAAGCACGAAATCCGGTGTGACGTCCCTGACGTGGGACGGAAAACACGGAAAACAGCCCTTAAAGTACAGAGGTGAGCCTGTGCTCGCAGCTGCTCTTCATTCCCTTATGACGGACACGGCCATTTTCGTTGAAGCTCGTGCGACGTCCGCGTGGCCCGCTGTTGGACGGCCACTGCTGGCCGCACCTGCGCGCCAAGAGCTCGCCTCCGCTGCCGAGTGTGCGGGTGTGCATTGGCGGGCACCGGCGCGCCAACCGAACTGTGCGCCGCGGGCGATGGTCGTTGGCCAGCGCCCCCCCCCCCCCCTCCCCCGCTCCCCTCTCGCTTCGGGCGGCCGACCCGTGCGCAATACCGACCCAGATCAATGCTGCGATGCCACCCCTTGCTGGGGTCTTGCGCCGTTAGCCCCCCGCCCCCCCGCCGACCCATCGGCCTACGCGCGTCTCCCATCCCCGCCCGATCCATTCATCTGGTACGCGTCTCATCGGCGGCCCGTCCCGGTCTCTCTTTACCCTGTCTCCCGGCCCGATGGCGTATTTGTCTGCGACACCATGTTTACAGTTATTTCTCTCTCTCTCTCTCTCTCTCTCTCTCCTCTCTCTTCTCTCTCTCTCTCTCCTCTCTCTCTCTCTCTCTCTCTCTCTCTCTCTCTCTCGATCTCTCTCTCTCTCTCTCTCTCTCTCTCTCTCTCTCTCTCTCTCTCTCTCTCTCTCTTCTCTCTCTGTCTCTGTCTCTGTCTCTTCTTCTGTCTCTGTCTCTGTCTCTGTCTCTGCTCTGTCTCTGTCTCTGTCTCTCTTCTCCTGTCTCTGTCTCTCTCTGTCTCTCGTCTCTCTTCTCTGTCTCTGTCTCTGTCTCTGTCTTCTCTCTGTCTCTGTCTCTGTCTCTGTCTCTATCTGTCTCTGTCCTCTGTCTCTGTCTCTGTCTCTGTCTCTGTCTCTGTACTCTGTCTCTGTCTCTGTCTCTGTCTCTGTCTCTGTCTCTGTCTCTGTCTCTGTCTCTGTCTCTGTCTCTGTCTCTGTCTCTGTCTCTGTCTCTGTCTCTGTCTCTGTCTCTGTCTCTGTCTCGTCTCTGTCTCTGTCTCTGTCTCTGTCTCTGTCTCTGTCTCTGTCTCTGTCTCTGTCTCTGTCTCTGTCTCTCTCTCTCTCTCTCTCTCTCTATTGCTCTCCCCCTCTGCGTTATATCCCTGTCTTTCTCTGCGTGCGGGCTTTTTTGTTGTTCGTGTGCTTTGTGCACATTCCCGCCCATGTTTTCTCCATCCCCGCTTCTCTAACAGGTATTTTGTATGTATAAACCATAACAGGTCATTTCTGCGTTTTGCAGCGTCCAACAAAACGTCCTTTTTGCTTCGGTTCAAAATGATTTCGAGCTTCGTTCGCGGAGCTTTAGGGGTCTTTTCATATTCGTGGACCCACCGCATGGACCCGTACCGTGGCTGGTGCGACCCTTCAGTAGTTTCTGACAGTTAGGCTATTGTAAACGCCAAGGGGATGTGACAGCTTTTTGAGTAGGGGGTTTACCTCTGTTGTAAAAGGGCAGGATTCTCAGCAAGTTTCAGAATGCGGCAATAATTATTCCTGGCTCGTAATCACGCCTTGTAACTCGAATGTCAGTGAGGTTGTTGTCGGGCTGTCCGTGTGTCAGGTTAAAGGTCAGCCCGACCAGCGAGGTCTGTGGAACGTCTATGTAATCTATAGCAGGACAAGCTGTCGGTCGGTTTTCTTTCAGCTCCAACAGTCATAGACAAGCCAATGGGCACTGTCCGCTCTCTACCGCTCACACGTCACGTCTCTGCGGAGTCAGCCATTTGTCCAGCATGTTGCAGATGTTTTATTAGTTGGCCTTCTGATTCAGCAAGGCGACATCTGCCATCGGACAGTTGAGGCTAGTGCATGGATGAAACTGTGATGTTCAGAACGGTCTGTAGGTGTTCTGGCGAATAGAACTTGGCGTTCGTCTGGGAAACACACCATTGGTCGGTTAATCAGAAATCGAGTGGAATTGGGGGGTCCTGAAATAGCTACAAATGTGAAGGAGACAGAAGTATTGTTTTTTGCTCCAAGGTCAGCTTAAGTCAACCGAGGCTGAAATTACAAGTGCTCAAAATATGAAAAAGCAGGCACACATTTTTGCATTACAAACTTTGCAGGGATTTGCGTAACTATTGCAATGTCTCTCTATAGTCATGAGAGGTAACGAATTCCAGAAGGCACCATTTGAGGCCAAGTCAGGTCACATTGCTCTGCCTCGGCTTCTGTCTTTGTCTCCGGGGGCGGACACGGCTGAAGCACATCAGGACAGAGGCTGGGACCAGGAGCGGCACAGAGGTCGAGACCGGGACCAGGACGGAGGCGCTGGGCGCGCTCGCCCTGTGGGCTCAGCTTTCGGCTGCCCTGCGTCGGCCGGTGCGGGCCGGGCCGGGTCACCTGCCGCAGCGCCCGGCAGCGCCTGCCAAACTTTATGGCTGCCCGGCACGCGGCAGTACGAATTGAAGCCGGCCGGCCAGACTGTCTTGTTAAGTGTCAAGTTTTCATGGCGGTACTGAGCGGCGCCGCGGCCTGTATTGACCGGGCGACTGCGTCACCGGAGCCGGAGCCGGAGCCGCAGCCGCAGCCGCAGCCGGAGCCGGAGCCGCGGCCGCAGCCGCAGCCGCAGCCGCAGCCGCAGCAGCAGTCGCTGGGCGCCGCCTCGGCCGCCGCTCAGCGCCGCTGCGGCTCTGGCCGCCCTCGGCCGCCCACCGTATTTGAGGTGCCAGGCCCGACGGTTTTGTCGCAGCGTTAATGGCCGATTCAGCGAGAGTGGGAGATCGTTAAGTGGTGCGCCCAGTTTTGGCGTCATCAGGCTGCCGTCAGTGCCCGTCAAATACCTATGGTGGTTGAACGCATAGCATGCCCTGCTTGGCGGT